AGTTTTAAATGAATGAGTAATCTCTTATTAACTGATGTCCTTTGATATGCATGCAGAATCTTTTAAAAATTGACATCTGCAAGTGAAAAAATATGATGGAACAATTGATGAAAAGACTGAGAACTACTGTTTGGTGAATATTTGCCATATTTCTTCTAATAGAATACGAGGTCACTGAGGATAATAAAGATCACTTCCACAGAGTAAAGCATATCGACCAGCTTATAACAATCCCGCCCTGAATGCATGCTGTTTACTTGATACATAAAGTAATAAAAGAAGCTAGAGATTTCTAGTGGCATTGCTTACCTTTAAAATTATCACTCAGGATGATATGGTGCTTTTCCACAATTGCTTTATACCCCACAGAAGTTAGTTTATGTGGGCCAGGATCTGACCTACTAGAGTAATTCTTAAGTCCATTGAAGAGAGTACCTTCAACAACAAACCAAATAGGGAGTTGTACTCAAAAAATTATACTAGGTCTCCTGAGGTTATTAACACCCAGTGCATCAACACTTCCTATGTCCATTTCACTATTTCTGAACCCTTTTCTTAAACACCAAAGAATAAACAGTATAGAGAATGAGAAAAATCTGTTCAACGGCAACCTCATAAGGTCACAGGCTAGGGCTGTTGAGTATTGTTAAGTGTATGTGAGTTTTAGTGCCAGTGGATGCACTTACTCTATCACATGCTAGAAGTGAAGAAACCACTGAAGAGTGTTATGCAGTGCCTATACCACATAAGAAGCAGCTGCTACCATTCTGTGTTGAGTCTTTACAAAGCATGTGATAAGGATGTTATGTGTTTCTTTGCCATTCTGTTGTAGATTTAGCACCATAATTTTAAAAAGATCCCCATTTGGCAACATGAGTGTGAAGTTTTTGAAATCTCATTTTCTCCTCCTTCCTCGTTGAAAAAAATATATATATTCATACTGTATATTGGACTTTTACAGTTGGCACTTTATTCACTTAAAACAAAAACTGAATATTGAGAAAGACTTTAGGTAAGTAGTCAAGATATGTCCTATCCTAATATTAAACTCAGATGCAAACTTTTCTTAAGTTCAGTCTGCTGAATCAGCACAAGTCATGCCCACTGCCTATACCGTTGCCTTTATTTTGCAGTCCTGGTGACTAAGATAATAAATGGCCCTACTCAGTAGCAGCCTAGGTGGTCACATATCCCAAAATTTGAGATATTCTTTTTTTTTTTTTTTTTAAACGAGACAGTCTCGCTCTGTCACCCAGGCTGGAGTACAGTGGCGTGATCTCAGCTCACTGCAACCTCCACCTCCTGGGTTCAAGAGATTCTCCTGCCTCAGCTTCCCAAGTAGCTGGGATTACAGGCATGCACCACTACACATGGCTAATTTTTATGTTTTTAGTAGAGACAGGGTTCCACCATATTGGTCAGGCTGGCCTCGAACTCCTGACCTCAGGTGATCTGCCCACCTCGGTCTCCCAAAGTGCTGGGATTACAGGCTTCAGCCACGACGTCCAGCCAAAATTTGAGATATTCTAAAAGAGCAGCTCCACAACTGCAAGACTGCCACTATACCTCAAAGTCCCTCCATCACAGTCATTTCTTTGGGTTTAGGTGTTATGATCCCTGTTAAAATGCACATACATTCCTCAGTAAGGGTAAAACGTTAGGTGATGTGATATGATGGAGAGTACAGACACTGGAACTAGTAAAATTTCATTTTGAAGCCAGGCTTCACTAAGTCCCAAATTTGGGTATTCCCACACCTTTAAATCGGAGGCAGCAGTATACACTTTGAAAACTATTACTATGGGTACCTGTAATACCTTATAGTCATCAAAAGGGACAATGTGCTTAAAGTATCTAACACAGTAAGCACTCTAATAGTAGCTCTTACTATGATTAATAATCGCTTACACTCATGACCACAGCATCCAGAGAAGAACCCAAAGGATAGCAAAAGGGAACTAACACTTGTGAGGCTGAGATGTTCAGTAAATTCTTTGGGGTCACACAGCTAGTGAATAATAGATCATGTAGCTGAACTTAGTTTTCTCTGACTCCAAAGCCCAGGTTTATGCCATAGAAATCTGCTGCCTTTTCTTGCATGTGTGCAGCCTGGAAGAGAGCAGTGATTTGACAGCCTCAATGATTCAGATTGTTTTGAAAAAGGCTGACCCTGAAAGACTGTGTAATCATATTAAAATATATAAAAGCTATGCACAGGGTGAATCTGTTTTCATAAAGGCCTAAAAGCATGCCAATGAACAACAGGATCCATTCTGAAGCCATAAAAGAACAATTATATTGAAATCTGGAATGACCTGCTGATATATGAAAATGGATTATGCTGAAACATGTCCAAGTCTCATCTGTGTCCCATCTTCCCAAAATTCCAAGGAGCTATCAGCCCACATGAACATCATAAAACCAGCCTCCAATCCAGAAATCCTAGTTTTGGGTCTGACATCCCTAAACCCTTCCTCTGAAGTGCTCCCCTCCAAAGTAACCAAGGCCCTCCCAGTAATCATAATTCTGAGGGAAGTGAAAATGCTGGCGGGGCAAAGTCACTTTTGCTCTCTGTCCCCATACCAAGCAGGTAGCTGGCCTCCACACCCCTTCACCTCAGGGAACATTTGTCTTGTGAGCAGACAGGCTATAGCCTGCCAGTTTTCCAGAATCCTAAACACCTTGATAGGATTATGCATAGGGGACAGGGGACAGTGATTTGGAAGAAAGAAATGCAGGAGGGAAATTTCTGTTCATGGGACGTCAGGGGACCTCAGAGAGACAGGATCTCAGGGAAATGACTTCTTGGTACACAGGAGGCTGGACCCCAGGCATCAGAGCTCTCAGCCTAGGCAGAAGCACCCTCCCCAACTCACCCCTCATGCCCCACCACCCTGGAGCAGAAGACATGCTCACCTTCAAGGGACTATGTGGACCTGGACAGTGAAGGTAGAAAGGACAATCACGATAGATTGAAGGTCCTTCTTGGGTAATTCCTCATAAGAGGAAGGCCCCTCCAGTAGTAAACAAGATTGAACTGCAGTAGTAGGGAGGAAAGATGCAGATTTAAGCTTTCACCTCTAAGAAAACTTGCCCTGAGATACATATTACGCAGAAGACACAGGAATCAAGTGCACACCCTTTATTACCAGGTAGGATCAGAAAAACCATGGCAATGGTTGATCTTGATGAGCTGGGCGGGATTTCATGGAAAAACTTGTAACATCTTTAGCTTGGACCGAAGGCAGATCTAACCAACCACTCCTGAGCTCCACCCTGGGTCCCTCCTCGCCTTGCACCAGCAGCCTTGGGGGAGCCTATAGAGAACACACAAAAAAGGAGGGGTGCAGGGGCATTCCCAAGAGTGCTCACCCCAGTCCAGTTTTATTTTTAACCCAATTAGTCCTCCCAAGAGAAACACCATCCATAGCCCAGTACGCCCTATGTCTCTCTGTCTGTCCTTGAAATCCATTTTGTTCTTCATCCACTATTGACTAGAAAGGGATCTGGAATGGGGGCAGTCCGAGGCTGAGGCCTGGAGTATGTAGTGAACACTCGCCAGAGCACTCTTTCTTCAACACACCCCAGCAGTCTTTCAAGCAGGCTGGTGGGCAACCAGGAAAATAGCTATCCCTCTCAAAGGAGGAAATCAGCAGACAATCAGAAAATCTGCCTGCACTTCTGTAAGGCCACTTTCCTGAACTTTGCCACTGCTTGTCTCACCTGCAAATCAATGAGACTAGCAGTTTGGTTACTCAAGGCCATTTGTGAAAGTCTCTTTCACGTTGCCCACAAAACTGAAAAAATGGATCTAGATGTTATTTAAATTGGTTTTTCCCAAGGCCACACTACATGCAAGGCAAAGAAGATACCCCTGATCTAATTTGCATCCCAAATTATGCTCTCTCCTATCTTCTAACCACTCAGCAACAAGGATTATGATGTGTGCACCAAATAATAACATGTCACCAAATAATAACATGTAAGTCTAGCTCCTAATACATACTAGAAAATAACTATCTAACAAACTAAATGAAATTTATCAAAATTGCTATTATCTATACAATTTAACACTACAACCCCCCAAACTCTTCTAAGCTAATTCCTTGCCCCAATGGAAAAATTCAATCCTAACAAAAACAATTCTGCTCTTCCTTTTCCCCCTAATGAATGTCAAACCATTGCTTCTTCTCTGATTTCCTCTCACTCCTCTCCACTGCAGCTGGTAGTCTGCCGTCAGTCTCACTGAGGTGTATGTCCATCAGAAGTGAGGTGCTGTTATTTCTTTTGGCCTTCGAAGATCTTCTAATGGGACAGGTTCAGCTTCTTCAGCAACAAGCAAGTTTGGTGGGGATGAGATACAAAAATAAGACCTCACCTATAAAACCAATGAAACAAAATGAAGAAAACATGAACACTGCAGTAGTTTCCAAAGGAAAAATAGCATTTTCAAGGAAAAGTGGTGTTTCCAAAATTTCTTTCCAAAGGAATAACAGCATTTTCCAAGAAAAGTACCATCCCTAAAATTCAACATAGCTTCTGACTCTAAAAATCACACAACTACTCCCAGCCACATACGAGGCATTTTCAGGAAAAGGAGTGAAACAAAAAGGAAAAGAAAAGACTTCGTGACTTCAACTTCTCCAGGGTGTTAACCAATCAGCATCAGCCACCCAGAATCTACCACCTGGAAAACGTAAATGCGATCAGAAAAAATCCCCTATTCAAAGAACAAATATGATACTCAAAATTAGTCCATCTCTGTTCAAGTAAATGAATAAAATAAGAATATAAATTTTCTTATCTGTATATCCACAATAATTTTTAAAATGGCTAATTTGGGTAATGGGATAATAAATTATTTTATTTAATTTTTAATTTTGTCCATAATTTTGGTTTCAATTTTTCTGTGAAGTAAATAAGTTATATTTTAATCAGAAGGGGGTCTTAGGAAATTAGTTTCTCTTTGGAGTGTGTCCATTCTTTCTTACCTTTCTGAAATCAGTGAGTTTGTCCTCCACTCTCAAATGGCACACGGACGTTCTTGCATTTATAGCAGGCCGGACGCCATGAAAAATTCATGGCTTTACATGGACATTTCCAATTCGCTGGAATTGCCAATGAGGCACACTTCTCCCGTTGCTGGGATCCTGAGACTTTATTCACTTTTGGTTGCTTGGCCTTCTGCCCCTCAGGCTGCTGCTTCTTTGGGCTTTCTCTGACACCATGGCTCCTGCTGACCCCCAGGGGAGTGTCCTGGGGCCTCTCTGGACCTTCTTCTGGTTTGCAGCTCCTGCTGAACACCAGGGTGGCCATCCCCTGGGCCCCCTCTGGGTTTCCGTCCTGGCTGTAGCTTCTGCTGTCTCCCTGGGGGACAGTCCCCTGGGACGTCTCTGGACCTTCTTCCTTGATATGACTTTCGCTGCCCCCCAGGCGGACAGTCCCCTGGGGCTTCTTTTGACCTTCTGGTTTGCTTCTTTTGATAACCACCAGGGTGGCCATCCCCTGGGCCCTCTCTGAACTTCCTTCCTGGCTGTAGCTTCTGCTGTCTCCCCTGGGGACAGTCCCCTGGGGCCTCTCTGGACCTTCTAGTTTGTGGCTCCTTCTAAACAGCATGGTGGGCCTCGTCTGGGCCCTCTTTGGACCTTCTTTCTGATTTTGTGTCTTTCTGGGCCCCTGGGGTCTTTCTGTACCTTTTTCCTGCAAGTGGCTTCTGTGGCTCCACAGTGGGGCTGTCCCCTGGGGCCTCTCTGAATCTTCCTCTTGGTTTTGGCGCCCACTGTCCCCAGGGAGGGGCATTCCTTGGGACCTCTCTGAATCTTCTCCCTGGCTGTGGCTTCTGCTGTCTCCTAAAGGGAATGACCCCTGTAGGATCTCAGAACCTTCCTCCTGAATGCAGCTTCTCTGGTACCACAGAGGGGCCACCTCCTCCTGGAAGTCCACTGCAGGCCACTGGCAAGGTGGGTGGATCCCAGGAGGAGGCATCTGAAGTGGGACTGCTGCTGCTTCTGCTCCCATGTCTACAGCAGGTGGTAGAGCTGGCAAGAATGGGACTTCCATTGAAAATGATGGTGGGCACGGGAATGGATCTGGCACTGGCACTGGCAGAGGAGACTGCCTGGCCTCGGCCCAGGCACTCAGGGGTTCTGGCACACAAAGAACATCTGTCAGGGTTGGCGTCTGGGCATTAGCATGTGGCCCCATGGCCACCGTCCCTCTCTGCTGCTCTGTAGCCAGGGGCCATGCCACAGCCCCATGCTGCTCTGTTTGCGGCCCAGCCATTATTTCACGGGCCAGTGGAGCAGCCTGGGGAAATCTCTCAACCTGGAGCAGCCTCCCGTACAGCCCATCACGCTCATTCAGCGCCTGCTGCAGAGCGGACTGCGTGAAGTGCAGCTGTGTGGCCGCCGCCTCACGCTCCAGGCGCAGCTGCTCCAGCTGGGAGGTCAGAGCCCAGGAGGCCGCCTGGCGCTCCTCCACATGCCCTTGCAGCCGCCGAACCTGGTACAGCAGCTGCTCCCGTTGCCTCACGGCCGCTCGCACACTCAAAGCCAACGCGCTCCAGGTGCAGGCCCTCTTAATGGACCGCGGCACGTTCGGGTCGGCCACAACGGCCCGAAGCCCGTCCTCTACCTCGTTCCACGGCCGCGAGCGGAAGGCCACATAAAAGGCTGGGCCGCTGCCATCCCTGAGGACTTCATCGTTTATGAACCTGATCACATCACTGTGGCGGAACCCGCTGGCGTGGTCTCCAAAATTCACCGCCATGGCGGCTGCGGCCTAGTCAAGCAGCTGCCTCACCGCTGTCGCCTCGGCTGCGGCCGTCACTTCCGGTACAGGCTGCTGCCGCCAACCAGTCCGTCCCTCCCCTGCCCTCTCAGTCTTACTTTAGTCCTTGCTCAGTCCTGGCCTCCTCCTCGGCCTCCTCCCTCCCTCACTCCCTTGTTCTCACAAAGAGTGAAGCAGGTCCCCTTCGCCACACCAAACCGGACGAGCGACTCCGCGACACACCACAGAGAAAAGCTGAATCATGCCGCAAGGCCTGCTGGGGCCCGGAAGGCCCGCTGGGACCAGCTTCCTTTGGCGCCGCACTCCCGGCAGGGAAAATGGGTGTGCTGCAGACTGCAGTGACCCAACAGAAACTTTGTTTCCAAGAGCTTAGAGAGGATAATATTCAGCATCATGGAATGAATTCCTAATCAGGTGATGGAGTTGGATAGTTGTATATATACATGGGTGCTGTTCTTTCCTTTTTTTTTTTTTTTTTTTTTTCTGAGATGGAGTCTCATTCTGTCGCCCAGGCTGGAGTGCCATGGTGCGATCTTGGCTCACTGCAGCCTCAGCATCCTGAGTAGCTGGGAATACATGCACATGCCACCATTGCCCGGCTAATTTTGTATTTCTAGTAGAGACAGGGTTTCACCATGTTGTCCAGGCTGGTCTCAAACTCCCCTGACCTCAAGTGATCTACCTGCCTTGGCCTCCCAAAGTGTCCATTAACATAGATTTATATTGTGTTATGCAGCTGTCTGTTAAATCTGTTGTTAAAAAAGATAAGTTATGGCTGAGCATGGTGGCTCATGCCTGTAATGCCAGCACTTTGGGAGGCGAAGGCATGGTTGCTGGCACCTGTAATCTCAGCTACTCAGGAGGCTGAGGCAGGAGAATTGCTTGATCTTGGGAGGCAGAGGTTGCAATGAGCAGTGATCACAGCAGTG